CCTGTTTCAAAATTTTGAACTTTGGGACATGACAAAGGAGGTAACTCGGGCCTCAGCTACCTCCATCAGCAATTCCTGCAGTCCTGGACCTGCAGCATCAGAAGGGATTGGAAGCCTTCCCTAGGGCATGCACTGCAGCAGCGACTCAGCACCTTGCTCATACGTGGGGCCGTTACACAATGGTCAGGTCAAAATTTTGCATTTTTCTGTCCCTCTCATGATGTAGAAAACTGGGCATGCAATGCAGCTGCTATTGTGGGGCCTCATCCAAAGCCCATTGAAGTCACACAGCACTAGTGCATATTAAAGATCGATGCACCTTATTGTTCGCCCTCTTGAAACATGAGCTCTTTTATTAATAAATAGGGTGAAAGAGCTAGGTACAGTGACAGATCTCCACACTCAGGCAAAACTTCCATTAGCTGCAAAGTTACAAGAGAATTCAATGGGAATTTTGATTGCATAAAGATCATTGGGTCTTTAATTAATAGTCATGGTCCTGAGTGACATTTGGATCTACATCTGAAATTTCCCAAAGTATGCAGATGTCCCACAGCTCTACCTATCCTTCAGCACATACAAACAAACCACTGTCACCAAGAAGGCCCAGTGCTTAACATAAGAACGGCCATACTAGGTCAGACCAAAGGTCCATCCAGCCCAGTATCCTGTCTACCGACAGTGGCCAATCCCAGGTGCCCCAGAGATAGTGAACCTAACAGGTAATGATCAAGTGATCTCTCTCCTGCCATCCCTCTCCACCCTCTGACAAACAGAGGCTAGGGACACCATTCCTTACCCATCCTGTCTAATAGCCATTAATGGACTTAACCTCCATGAATTTATCCAGTTCTCTTTTAAACCCCTGTTGTAGTCCTAGCCTTCATAACCTCCTCAGGCTGACTGTGTGCTGTGTGAAGAACTTCCTTTTATTTGTTTTAAACCTGCTGCCCATTAATTTCATTTGGTGGCCCCTAGTTCTTATTATGGGAACAAGTAAATAACTTTTCCTTATTCACTTTCTCCACACCACTCATGATTTTATATACCTCTATCATATCCCCCCTTAGTCTCCTCTTTTCCAAACTGAAAAGTCCTAGCCTCTTTAATCTCTCCTCATATGAGACCCGTTCCAAACCCCTAATCATTTTAGTTGCCCTTTTCTGAACCTTTTCTAATGCCAGTATAGTGGAGTCGCATCTTACACAGGGGTTAGGTTCTAAAGTCAGCGCGTATGGCTAAAATTGCGTAGAGTCAAAATTACCCTTGAAAATCCCTTAAATCGCCCATAAAGTACAGTATACTGTATATGGTTTTGTGTATACAACCCTGTATAGTAATATGTATAAATGTGTAATGTATATAGTAATGTACAGTATATAATAGAGTACATATGCAAAATATAATTTTACAGTACTGTATTTTTAATTACAGGGGGTCATCAGGGCTTGATGTCAATCCAGGAGACGGAGGTGACGGGGAGCGAGTCATAGACCAAGTAGTTGGCCCTGGTTCAGCTCGAGAAGTTGATTACGTAGGCTGATCTGCTGCTGGTTGTTTTTCCTTGAAAAACATGGTGATGGGCAACTGTCGCAGTTGTCTCTTGAGCTGCTCAAACATTTCTTGATACAGTCTCAAATCGTCCGTAATACTACTTCTGATTTTGAGGCTTCGTTCCATAGAGGGATAGTATTCAAAAATTAAATCATTCTTCATTGGCAGATGCAGCTTCACCAGTAGTCTGCACGTTTTTGAGGTTGAAGCGGTTCCTAAAACTGTTAAGCCAACTTTGGCTGGCTTTGAATTCCTTCTCATCAGAAGGCTGTCCCTCTTCGGCGGGAGGTTTGAACAGCGCGTAGAGGCTAAGAGCCTTTTCTCGCAACATGTTGCCATCAATAGGCACACGTTTACGGTTCATGTCTTCCAGGCATTAGTTTAATGCCTCTTCAGTCTTCACTGAAGTCTTATCACACACCTGGCTCATCATTTTAGCAGTTATTGGAGCACTTGATGCCATGGCTTGACGAATTTCTCTCTCGAATCTTGATGGCACGGATGCTAGATTCGTTGCAGCCATATTTATGTGCCACGTTGGAGACCAACATGCCATCTCTCAATAAGTCCAACACAGCCAGTTTTTCCTCCAGCATTGGAACAGATCTCTGTTTCTTCGGTTGAGTACCAAATGAAGTAGTTGGCTTGCATTTAGGGGCCATGTATGAAAAATACGTATCTTTAAACGCTAAAATCACACTCAGCATGGCAAGATGCTCACACTATGAGAGGCACGCGGGAACTGAGACCGACTGAGAGAACAGCAGATTCACGTCTCCCATCTCACGCTCATTCCGGGGCATACGCTCATTGAATGGAATGGTGGGTGGGATTGCCCACACTATTTTACAGGTATCTTGTTGTTTTTCTTTTTTTTTTGCTGAGCGCGTACAGTTAAATTTGCATAAGTTAAATGTGTGTATGATGCGATTCACCTGTATATCTTTTTTTGGATGCGATCAGCTCATCAGTAAAGAACAGCTGACTGAAGCGGAAACTGGGCAAGATAGAGCTGATGCTGGTGGTCAGAGGAAAGTATTTTGAAGATCTGCAACTATGAGGCAGTCTTCTTTGGTTGCAGGTACACCCCCACAATTGGTCAAATCAGCCTGTAGTTTAGGAGCACTCTTACACGCCTCATTGAAACTAAGCTTTCACATAGCAGCATCTGCAAGCAATGCTTTCTATCGTCTCTGGTTACCAAGGAGACTCTGTCCTATCCTGGTGGACAATGAACTGGCTTCAGTTATTCAAGCTTTGGTCACCTCTCAGCCGGATTACAGCAATTCAATATACCTGGGCATGAAACCTTCAGCATTGAGGAAATGTCAAGTAATATTGAACACTGCAGCACTTCCCCTCAGCCACATTGGCAACAGGTCGTACCTCAAACCTGTCCTCTGCTCTCTACACTGGCTTCCCACAGAATGTCAAATCAAGTTCAAAGTCTCAGTCCTTGTCTTAAAGAGGCTCCATGGTATCTAAAAGATCAGCTAAAGCTCCAGGATGAAGACTCTGATAACAACTTCGCTCCTCTGGCACAAGGGAACTCCCTCCAATAAGGGTAAATCTTGTCTGTGCAGGAGACTACAGTTATTAGTACGGTATAACAACGCCTATAGAATAGATCCAGGGTTTGTTACAATCCATTAGAGACAAGGGCAAGCAACAAAGCTCAGATCCAGTTCTAAGGTGTTTGGCTCTGAAGTGCTGATCCTAGTCTATGGTCTCTAAGAATTGTTCCAGCCATGTGCAATCAGGCTTGTACTCATTGCTTAGAAACTCCAACATCCATACTCTGAAGGCAGCAGTGTCACAATCGTTTTATTCTGACCCATAGAGCTGCACGTGTATAAACTACCTGTTCCTTTCATTTCTCCCACATGAATGTAGACTGAAAGCAATTCCAAGTGCTGTTCTGGTGATCTTTTCGGGAAAAGATAGAAGCTGGATCTGTCTGAATCCTGCCATTCTTTGGCCCAACTTCCCAAATTATACCAACCAAATAAAGAGCAATTCTAAAGGCACTGCACCAAAACAATCCTGACCTCTATGGAGGCTAGTGCAGGAGGGTTACAAAAACCTAGATCTAGCCATATTTTCAGCCTCAAGCCCCCAAATTTAAATACCTAAAGAGAGAATTAGCCTTGCTGCTCCCGGTGCACAAACATGGTCTGGAACTTGGAGCATGTGCACTGCACCACCCCTGTTGGCAATTTTGCATCCCAAGGCAAAATCAATAGAAAATGAACATAGCCACTTCTGCTTCACTGGGAAAATCTGGATGCTGATGCCTCTCAGACCAAAAGGACTGGTAAAACATATTGGATACTGCACATATCCTGCCAAGTTTCGACGCTGTGTTCCCCAATTCTACAGTCTAAATGCAAGAACAATGAAGCAGCCCTTCGTGCATCAAAAATCCAGACTATTCAGCAACGTAGTACAGCAACACAACACAAGATAGTTTTATAAATTCCAATCTCAGCTACACAGAGAAGTGCAACTGCTCCAAATTCACTGAAAAAAAATCCAGACCCCCCCGCACCCCCATTCACCCCTCTTCAGCAGTTCTGCAAAGACACATAGCCAGCACCTGGAGCCTATTATTTTGGGGCATCAATCCCCCCAAATTTTAACATCAAAATAGATAACTGAAAGCGAAACTTCTGGCATAACCCCATGTAAGATCAATGCACAAACATATGGGACACCTGGACCATGCCAAATGCAGAATTTTTGGGGCCACAAACCTCTAAATTCTACTACATAGAGACCAAGTGCAGCAACTCCTGACCCCATAGGAAATGCTCCTCCTGGCACACTTGAAAAGCCCACATATGGGCCTGGATCCAGGAGGGCTGTACCTATTTTTCCATTTAGGCCCACAAAGTGTTTCTATCTGGTTAGACCGGGATCTTGTACATTAAAGGACTCTATTCCAAGCTCCTGTGTTCCAGGGAAGCTATAGCAGCCCAGAGCTCCTATCTTGACCTTTCTAGATACAGCTAAATTGCAAACCACCACACTTACATTTTGCAGAGGGACTTTTGATCACATGAGGTGTGGTAGCTACAGTAGCTGGCTCTTGTCTTGAGTGAACTTTTCAAAGCAGGGTCGGGGACTGAGACCTCTTTAAATTAATTTTAAACACGTTTCAGCTGAGTGCTGGCATCAGCAGGATCCATGGTGCCTACATGTAAGGCGCACCATGCTGCAGCCGCGCAGGTTTTTCAGGTGAAGTAGGAGTGGCTCGGTTTGTTTTCCATGGCCAGTGTACAGATTGCGATTTGGGGCCCAAAAGCGCCAAATCCCTCTGGATCCAGGGGCCATCACTGATTTTTTGTGGCGCTCGCGCCTGTTTCCTTGGTGCAGTAGGAGCAGCTGGACGTGTTCCCTGTTCAAACATCAGAATTTGCAGGTTAGGGCCCAAAATATGGCGGGATCCAGCAGCAGCCAGGTGCCGGATCCCGGTTTTTGCAGTGCTCATGCTCCGGATGCAGCGGGACGCGGGAGCATCAGGAGCAATTAAGCCGAGTCTCTATTTTGACGGTACAATTTAGGGGGCTTGGGTTTTGACACGGGCAGCATCTGGCAGGATCCGGGTAGATCCAGCTGTTCCCTTCCCCTGGCACAGCTCAGCGCAGCGTCCTTGGGCGCTTGCCATATTCGGACACGGGCTCATTGACCACCCCACCCCCACCCCATACGCCGGGACAGGCGAGCTCGAGGCGTTGAAAGTTCGCCTCCGCTGTGAGCGTCTACAATGTTCTTGGCACCCGGGGCCCGGGGCGCTGCAGCGAGACGCGGGGCCCTTGTCCAACATTCGCTCCAGCCCCTCCACCGCGCAGGCCGGGTCTCTGACACCGCGGCGTGCTCCCGCGGCCCGGCTCGCCTGAGAGCCAGTCCCACCATGCAGCGAGGCCAGGTAAGGGCTGGGGGGGGACAACAGCTCCGTTCTAGGGTGCCAGGGAAAGCAGACGATCGGGCAGACACTTGTTGTTCTCTGTCTTGCGATCACTCCTCCCCCCCGCCGCTCCCCGGACAATCTTTTGCCAGCTGATGCCTTGGGGCTCGTTCCCGTTTGGCGCGGGCTGATTCAGAGCCAGAGTTACCGCGGGGGGGCGGGGGGGCAGATGCGTTTCCAGACGGCTGGGATGGGCTGGAACCGGCGGGAGGACCTGGAGGCAGAGCTGCGCTCTCGCTGGGTGCCAGGGGAGCGGAGAGATCTGTGCAGTGCGGGCCCCCCTCGGAAAGCTCAGCGACCCAGCTCCGCGGGCTGGAGGAGGGCGGGCTGCGCTGCATTCGGGGACAGCGACGTGCCGCGACTCCCAGGCGTCGCCCTGCGCCAGCCCCCTGTCCCGTGTCTCCCTGGCTTACAGCGGCGGCCGCTGGGCAGAGGCGGGCAGGGCAGCAGGCAGCAGCCCACGAGGAAGCGTCGTTACTCGCTGTGTTTGTTATAGGGCTGGGTGCTGCTGGCAGCTCTTCTCATTGCTGGGCTGGGTCGCCCCGCATCCGAGGCCTTCAAGATGAACAGGCGCCCCGCGCGGACTCGAACCTGCGCCGACCGGCCGGAGGAGCTGCTGGAGCAGCTGTATGGGAGGCTCACCGCGGGCATGCTCAGCGCCTTCCACCACACCCTGCAGCTGGAACCGCTGGAGAAAGACCATAACGTGAGCTGTCCGGCAGGGGGCAGAGCAGCCAGTGAGAAAAAGTACCGCCTCCCTATCAACCTGCACAGCGTCTCCCCCTGGTCTTACAGGTGACTAGCGCCCTTATTTACTTTGCTACACTCCCAAGGGTGGCACGAGCCAAGGGTGGGGATTATTGGGGCCACCACTGCCGTTGTCTTCTTCACGGGCTGTTTCTTGTCAGACCAGAGCTGTTCCCCTGGCACAGGGCACAACAAAGGCGGGTTGAGAAGGAAGGTTGGAATCAAGACAGGATATCCTTCTGAGAGATAAGCTCTAGTCCAGTAGGAAGTTATGCAGAAATTGCTGAGGTAAGGCTCTATGGTTCATATTATGCAGGAGGTCAGACTAGATGATCATAATGGTCCCTTCTGGGCTTAAAATCTATGCTTCTGAAAACCTGAGATCCCTTAATAAATATGCAAAAAGGTTTTCTGTAACTTTGTGGCATGATTCTACTTTTCATATAAGGACCTAGCTCCATTCAGACAAGCCTCCCGATACAGAGGTGTGTTGAGCATCAGAGTCTCTGAGACACAGGTGACCAATCTGAGTCTGAGAAGGAGCCCGAATTTACCAATGTACATTGCCAAAGAGCCACAGTAATATGTCTGCAGCCCCCACCATCAGCTCCCCCACCCTGCTCCCAGGGCCTCCCACCCACCGGCAGCTCTGTCAATCAGCCCCTCTCCCTCCCTTCCTCCCCCCCACCTCATGATCAGCTGTTTCGTGGCGTGCAGGAGGCTCGGTGTGGGGGGGGAGGAGGAGGAGCAAGGGCACTGCAGGCTCAGGGGAGGGGGCAGGAATGGGTAGAGTTGGGGGAGGGCCTGTGGCAGAGCCAGGGGTTGAACAGTGAACACCCCCTCGGCACATTGGAAAGCTGGCTCCTGTAGCTCCAGCCCCAGAGTCGGTGTCTATACAAGGAGCCGCATATTAACTTCTGAAGAGCCACATGTGGCTCCAGAGCCACAGTTTGGCCACCCCTGCTCTAAGAGAATGTCTCACAATAATTTGCACATGGACTAGTGATGCTGGAACACACGAGAGTTTAAACTCTTGGAGTGAAATCCTGGCCCTATGGGCGCTTTGCCATGGACTTCAATGGGGCCAGGATTTTACCCCTAACATTGGCAATACTGTAATGTCAAGTTCCCTTGTTCCTCCCAAGAAAAAGGCTGAAGCCCACTCACTACCCCAGGAGTCACTTTGACTTTCCTTTGATGCCTCAATTGCATGTGAATGGCCTGGCCTGCTGCGCTGCAGTGACAGAAGAACTAAGTGAAGAGCCGAAGGCTGGGGTCAGGAGCATTGATCTTGAGGTGTGAGGAATCATCTTGGGGAGCACAGTGGTTAAAAGATATTAGAAAAAAACAGACAAAGGGCTTTAAAGAGTTAAAATATGCTAGAAAATAGTGCAGTGTGAGGTAAAAATATAAAGCTGACAGAGAAATGCATAGAACAGGCTAAAAAGAGAAGTGAACAAGAAAATGGAGTTGACATTAAGCTTTTTTCTTAACTAGAAAGTTTTTCACCACCATCTGAAAGGTGGCACATGGTGCACATTGCCCCATGCAGAATCAACTCCCTCCTATAAAACTGCATCCAAGAATCCCCCGTGATTTTGCAGCTGTTCCATGGAGGTACATACCCACAATTGGTCAAGTCAGCCTGTAGTTTAAGGGCACTTTTACACTTCTCATTGAAATGAAGCTTTATACCAGATGGGACATGATATAGATGCTGTTTGGAAAGGGAACATTGGTTACGAATTCCACAATCTTTACTGTTTAATAAATTGCACCTTTTGAAAGAAAGCATCTGACTGACTGTCAGAGCCCACAACAGGGCAGGAATCTGATATAACTACAGGGACTAAGAGACAGTAACCTCTTCAGTGAAGAGCTCTGAATTTTCAGTACATTTATTTTTTCAGTTACAGCAGGAAATAACAGATACGTGCATGAGAGAAATATGGGATGGAAACATGACTCGATTACCTAAAATTTCACTGAAAATAAATAAAGGAAATCCAATCCAAGGGGTAAAGTTAAACATTTAGGAGTTAAACATTTTAGGAGTTAAAGTTAAACATTTGGCCTTTAGCAGAGAAAATAAACTATGAAGAAAGCAGGAGCAGAACACCAACAATGGTGGGAACCATTAATATTTTAGATGATTTCCTCAGAGAGAGAGACATTACTGTGAACTTAAAAAAATCTGTAACTAAATAAAGAAAAGCTACCATGTCCTAAAGTGCAGTTATACTCTGAATGGTGACTTAGGCCTTGTCTACACTAACAAGGTCAGTCGATCTAAGTTATGCTAGTTTTAAGGTACGTAAGTTATGTAACTGAAGTCGACATAGCTTAGATTGACTACACCACACTATGCCGTCGGGAGACGCTCCCCTGTTGACACAGCTTCCGCCTCTCAGGGAGGTGGAGTACTGAAGTCAACAGGAGAGCACTCTCCCATCTACTTATCGCATCTTCACCAGACCTGCTAAATTGACGCCGCTGCATCGATCGCAGCAGTGCCGATTTAGCCCGTAGTGAAGACAAGCCCTCAGTATCAGCAAAACCATAGGGCTTCATGTTTGGCTCTCAAGGATTTCCATACCATAGCTGAAACTCAGAAATAAAAAGGTGTTTTTCCTAACTGCTGGTCCTGAAGACAGCCTGGAATCTGAAATTTAGGTCCGCATTGTCCTCTGTGTAGATTACTCCTGTGTAGGGGTTGGTAATGCCACCTGAGCTTTCCTTTTGGGGTAGCCACTCTCACTCTGACAGAAGGGGTTTTCCCACTGAAACTCAGCGATTTTGAGAAATCCAGAAAAGATCAGGATGAGGAGGCAGGAGGCCCTGTGCTTTCACAATGCCTTGATTTAGGTTAGAAACCCCCATGGGGCTATGGGTGATAATCCTGTTGAGTAACGAAAATATTTAAAAATAAATAGTAGCGAAGGAGTGCGCATGGAGACAGCATAACAATGAAAGCCATGGACTTCATAGCAGTTAGTGTCCTTAAGCCAGACCACTGTCCTGGGATCTAAAATGCATCCGAGTGCAACATGTGCCATGTTTACAGTTATGATGTTCCAAGGAGGTTCCCCCACATTCCTCACTGCAAACACTGTCCCCAGGGGTTGGCTCCTCTCTCTCGGGATGCCAGGCCACACACAAGGAAGTAAAATAAAATGAGAGTTTTTTAAAGCATTGAAAACAAGCCATGATCCTGCCCTCTGTACTTATCTGGGTGTTGTGCCTGAAGAAGGAATGGAGGACTCGGTCCTTTATTTTCAATCTTCTAAAAGGAGATTGTGAACAACAGAGAGTTAAAAACAAGCCCAAACCCAAAAGACCTTGTATTTCTCTTTAAATTTCATATGTGCTCCCTTTATGATGCCCTGAGTGAAAGACAAAGTCACAGTCGTGCAGCAGTCTTGAAGATAAAAATACCACCTCATTAGGGACCTCCAATAAATATTTATTTTGTGGCATGTTCCCTGCTTGCTTTTAGCTCAAAAAATAATCCTATGTGAGATAAAAACAGTTCATTTGCTCAATGAGGCCTTTATAGACAAACTAATATATTTAGGAATATTACATTTTCTTGTAAACATTGAGGATTTTTTTTTATAGCTACATAAAAAATTCACAGAAACCCCAAATATGTTGAAATGCTGAGAATAGCACATACCAATAACTTAACTAACTCACACTCATTTGTTCTGCCATATATTGGTCCTCTCAGGATGTTGGTCTACCTGGGATAAGAACAACAAAGCAAGGCCTCAATTCTGCCATCGTAGCTGCGTGGGCAGACTTCTTTGACTTCAGTGGAGCTCAGCACAGGCACAGCAATCTGTCCACCCAGCACCAATCACAGGAATGGGGCCAGTCTTAGGAAAAGGGGGATCAGAAAGCCATAAATCCACTGCACTCTCCTCCAGACATCTCAAACTATGCCAGTCAGACAGCCTCAACCTCTCTCTAGCCATTCAAGTAACCCTAGACTTTTAATATTTATTTACAGTATTGTATTACTGTGTCACCTAGGAGCCCCAGTCTGGGGCCAGGACCCCAGTGTGCTAGGCACTGTACAAACACAGAACAAAAAGACACTCCCTGCCCCCAAGAGATTACAAACTATTCTTGGTATAAGACAAGGGACAACAGATGGATACAGTCAGACAGGGAACACAAGGAAAGAGTGAGACAGTACTGGTTAGTGTGAGGGGCAGTGGTCTCTGCAGGTCATTGGCCTCACACTTTTTGTCGGCATCATGGCAAAGGAGAATTCTGAGGAGGGTTTTGAAGGAAGACAATGAGGTGGCTTTGGGGATGTTCATGGGCAGCTCCTCCCAAGCTTGAGGGGCAGCTTGGGAGAAAGTATTGAATAACAGAGAAGCTCCCCATGTTTTATAAGGACTGTTTTTTTATTTTTAGTTTAAATTTTCAGTTGGAGCTCATAATGAAGGCAAAAGAATGTTTGAAAGTAATACATGATTGGAGGGGAATCCTGGCCCAGTGATGCAGAGACCTAGCGTTCACTGCCTAAAAATAGATCTAATTGGCAGGAAAATTTGCCTGATATTCAGACTTTTATTAGATCATTACAATAATGGGGCTCCAGGAGCCATCATAAGACAAACAATAAAAATGTATTATCTTATTTAAAACATGTATTCTCTTGTCCTCTACTGTCTATGGTACTGTAAATTCTTAATGTCAGCCTATGATTTTATAGACGTCTGAGGCCAGAAGGGATTATTAGCTCATCTAGTCTGGCCTCCTGTGTATCACAGGCCATAGAATTTAACCCCGTAGTGCCTGAATTCAGCCCGTAACTGTTTGAGCAATAGCATATCTTTTAAAAGGATATGCAGTCTTGATTTAAAGATTTCAAGTGATGAAGAATCCACTACAGCCCTGGGTAAATTGTTGCAGTGGTTAACTAGCTTCGCAAGTGCCACCCTAAATATTTCCTCTCCCTCCTTGATGTTTTCATTCTTTGAGTCATTGTAGACAATGATCATCCCCACTTTAGCAGTCTCTTAGCCAAGCTTCTC